CTAAAGTAAGAGGGGTGGGAACCACTACAATTAACACAGTGAGGGTCCAGTTTCCACTCGTAGGCATCATGGTCCTTGCCAGTACAACAAGCATACATCACAGAACCACGACAAAATTTCCTTGAATGACTGAACTGCTGGCACTGAAAACATCGAAGAGGGTTGGGAATATACGGTCGTACCATACAGTTCAAATAACCTGCCTTAACAATGGCAGGTGGACGTGGTGATGAACGTCAAAACAAGAACAGAGGCTGGTACCATAATTCCATCTTGACGAGTGGAGATCTTTTGAACTGCTGAGTCTCCTTGACTGGAGAAACTAGCAAGGATCTCAGTCTTGGATATGGTCTTAAAGTCCCTCTCGACAATAATTCCTCGTGAGGAATTCAAAGAAGTGTGGGGAGTAACCTCAAAGGGTATATCCTTAATGGTCTTAGAATTCAGGAAGAGTTCACTGTGTTTTGGTGTTGATGTTTCCACCAAGATATCCACAGAACATAGCTTCTTGACTGACTTTGGAGAGCCAGCAATCCCCTCTAATCACTTCTGAATAAAAAAAAGAATACATTTGCCCTAAAGATTTATCGAACAGTGAATACAGGATCTGGAAGTGAGGTACAGGTATACTTTGTGATGGAGACTGCTGTTCAGTCTTCTAGGCATGGATGTTTACTATTTTTTTTGGATTGGGGGGATCCATAATAAAGGAGAAAGATTCAGTGCCCACTGACCCCACCTGTCATGGAGTCCTATGAGGGGACGCACTACAATGTCAAACAAGGACACTGCAGCAATGCCAAGGTATCGTGAACATTATACCCAAACACCAGCAGACACCTTCACGGGTCACCACGGCATGGCAAACACGTGGGTGGATGTTTAGATCCCAGAGGAGGTGAATAAAAATACACAACCTTCCCTGGGAGGTCCCCTCACCATGTACAGGAATCCACGTTGAGGGGTGAAATTATAGTGATGTGAAGCTTTACAACATTGTTTAGTGAAAAATTATCATAAATGAAAGCTATCATGGATTCACCAGACGGAAATATTCCCCTACTAATATATCTTTCCTTTTGAGACATTAATTATCTCGACAAAGGATAGGGTGTGAACTTGCTGTACTTTAGATTTACTGAGGATGTTGAGATATTATAGAATTACTTAGATCAAATTGGTAACATAGACAAGTATTTGACAAATGATTTAATTATAGTAAAGGCAAGGTAATGCATTTATCATATTTCGATAATACACATAATATAAATCTGAAACCACTCATAACATTAACTGAAGAAAAAATCCTTGGCATATTTGTGGATAAGTCGCTAAAACCAATGAAGTAGTTCTTCATTGTTTGAAGTAGAAGTAAAAGAATTTTAAGGTGTCTTATCATGGTTCACACAGGCTACTGGGAAAATAAATCCAGAATTTCCAAGGACCAAACAGTCATTTTCAAGGACAAATTTACTGATTTTAAAAGAATTTGAACTCCACCAAAATTAAATAGCTAATGTTATATATTATAAAAATAAAGTAAAAGCTGTGTAAAATGTTCTAGCAATAATGGTAACTCCTGAGCTAGTAAAGAACACTTATGCAAAAATAAAAAGGTTACAAAAGTAGTCACTGAAAGCAATTCTAAGTGACATCACATTACTGAATAAAACCCCTAACAAAATAAATTCTTCATAATTTACAGTCACCCAAGTTTGCCTTAACTCTTTCCAACTTCAATTTAATTACAAGTGATAATGTCTTAAATCTTTCTTCCAAATACTGTGTTTTAGTTGGAGCTTAAAACTCCTCTAGCATGTAACGAAACCCAAATACTAATTATTAAAAATACTACTTTATCTTGCCAGCGAGTACCTCATTGGCTACTGAAGATACATCACCATAATAACCAAGATAAAAAGAAAAGGTTTGTACACTCCTACTGTTACTTCTCACACTCTTACTGTTACTTCTCTCATATTGTTGCTTATATTAGATATAAAGATGGACTATATGTAAAATTTGCCAACAAACTAATTTTCTGGCTCATTAATCAATTACATTCAACTAATCTGTTATTCTCATATAATGACTAAAAAATTAAAAAATCATCGATAACATTCAAGGGTTGACTGAACAAAAACTTGTATAATTCTACAAACTGGATTTAAATACTCATGGTAAGCAGCACACAGAAAGCCCATTGTATAGCTACAAACTTAAAAAAAAATTAAGCTTGAACAAACATATTTAAAAATCAATAATGGTCACATTTTCATTACTAGACAGTCGGAATAGCTAAAACACTTGTGGTTTTTCTCATATAATTGCATACCCATTATTTTCAAACGTTAATTTTATTGCTGCTAGTCAACATAACAAAGAACTGGAAAAGTTGTGGGTTGTTAGAACCTTTATATTTCAATGTGGTTTTAGACTAAAAAGTTTTCTTGTATGCTAATGCATACACAAACAATATGTAAAACAATACTTGTTCAATAATTGTTTTGAAGAGTGCTGTCATATGTACCAATCATCACAGAGTATAATGATTATAATATGAACCAGTTTAAGAAATTTATTCGTTGTAGATAAGGAAACAAAAATTAATAAAAACACATACTAAATAATATTAGTAACCTACTTCACAATACTGTATTTACAGTGCTGGCTATCTCCAAAATATTAGTAATGGGGCCCAAAATAACCCAGCTTAGATCAATAAATGCACATATAGCAAGTTGCCTTTAACTCTTTCAGCACGGGCTCGGTCCCTGGAACTGACCTCGTAACCATTTTGTGTTTGCTATAGTTTTCATGCTATAACTTTTAAATTAGTAAGCATATGGTACCGAAATTTGGCAAATTATCAGTAAACATTACAATGCTTTCATATGCAAAATATCAAATATTTTTTATTAAATCTTAACATTTGTAAAGCAATGTTTTTCTCATGCCTTTTTTTCTTTTTGCATGTTGCCTATCCAACATGCAAAGTAATTTTCATTTTAAGATTAAAAATACTTTTGTGCATCAGAAAATTTTCAAATTTTACATGCAAAATCTTCATAATGTCCAGATAGTTATCAAATGTTTCTTAAAAAAACTTTATATTTTATGTTATTTTCAGTAACAAATCTCTGTATGGGTTTGATTGATTTGACCAATCTTGTAACCATGTTAAAAAAAATAAAGAAATAAATATGAATTATGCATTTTCAGTCTAGAATGACTACAAATTATAACACGCAAAGCATAAATAGAAAGAGATGGGCAGGGTGCCAATGTGTTTGATTTATTACATGAGCAACATCTTATCAAACTGAAAAAAAGATGAGGCTCTTATTTTATATATTCTATCTTGGCAATATCAGTAATTTGAGTTTCTAATTCATACAAAACTATACACTTAGTATTTTGACATCACAAACATCTAATTTGAACCAGTGCTGCATTCAACATACCATGTGACACACAAAAATTGATCTTTAACTGTGTTTTTCTAATATTTACTATTAAATTACGAAATTGAGTAAGGTATAATACTAAAATTTGAATTATAATCTACAGTTTGATACCAAACTTTTTGACATGAAATAGAAGTTAAATACAATTTTGAATGCAAATCAACGAACATGGCCTTTCACCCGAGACTCATCTAAAAAGGGTTGATGGCAAATATTTGATTACTTCATGCATGGTAGTTAACTTTGCAGCACTAATTGTGTTATAGATTTATGTGGTTTACATTTGCATAAAATTTGAGTTCAAGCTCTTGCTTTTCTTAAAGGTGGGCAAGCAAGGAACAAATGGCTCTTTGTTTTCTAATGTGTGTGTGTGTGTATATAAAGAATGCTTTATAGTAATGGTTTTCAAACCCATGGTTTTGCAAAGGATCATCAGGGTTTCTTCATACCACAAAGGTAACAAGTAATGGCAGTTTTTTGTTGTCTTGCTCAATTACTAAGGAACCAAATGTATTTCTGGCAATCATAAATCACTTGGTATTCAGTCTTCTCCACACAGTTACAATTTTACTTTTAACAATATTTTATACAAATTTAGTCACTTTCATCGAGGTTAAGCTGTAGGTGAAGGGTGAGAAAAGTGAGACAGTTTCATGGCTTCATAAAGTTTGGGAATCATTGCTCTATATAATAAGCAATAAAATCATAAATTCTAAACATACTAAATTATTATTGTGAACCTTCATAAGGATAACTTATTTCCAACTGGACCATTTATTTTACTGTGAGACAACAGTGTATGAGCAACAGATTGTTTGCTACATTTACTTGTGCAGATGTTTTTAGAAATTCATGCAATACCTACATTTTTTTCTTCCAATGATTTTGTTTAAAGTTTAGAATAAAAATCACCTAGTATCTTTCATAGTCATCTCCACCAAAACTGTGTATATAGTCGATAAATAAGGACTGCAAACAAGCATACCACACTTGTATTCACAGAGAAATAATGGACATTCTCTCTTTATTCCTAATACAATAAAAACAATTTTATATTTCATAAATGAACGAATGCTTTTTTCTAAAAAAATATCTCTTATCAATGTATTTCAGCTGCCGTACTTCATGTAAGTGTAGGTGTCTCGTACAAAGTACAAGACCCTGAGCATACATTTCATATCATTTTTAAGCTTAATATACTTAACTATTTAGTATCAAGTACATCAAACAACTCATGCATACATATAAATATAATACAAATAATACAACTAAATACTCATACTAAAAAAAGTTAAAATTGTAAGCATTAGGTATATGTGTTCGGCTGATTCGAATTTCAGAATACTCAACAGTCAGAAGTTTCTAGAATTTAGAAATGGCATCGCCCTCTGACTCATACATACCATTACCATTGTACAAGTTAGGCCTACATCTCGCATGCTTAGCTTCTGACTCTGAGAAAGTTATAACTTAAGACAACTAACACCTGGTTTAAACCATTCAACGTTCATCACTTCAAAATAAAGTGCTTACATTTTCATTGTTCCCTTAGGTCCCAAGTTGGTTTTCAGAACATCTTGAAGTCCTCTAGCTGCACTAATATTCACGGAAAGAGCTTGAGCATGACGTGCAATTTCAGCTTTAGGATTTACGTATGATACAGCAGCCATTTTCAATGCAGAACTTGCAACACGAGTGATGAGAATGAACAGACCGGTAAAAGGCTTCTTGAAATTTTATATAGAGGCGCATTTACGTTCTTCTACCAAAAATCTTCAGATAGAACTCCTGTTTATATTATTATTTAGGTGAAAATTCTTATAAGAATAAGCAGTATTAACAGATGGAAGAATTAATTACACATGAGAAACAAAAAAATGCAACTAAACATAATAAAATATGAAATACCTCCCCCCAAATAAAACAAAACTTTCAAAATAAATAATTAATTTGGGTCATTATTTCGACCAAACGATCTCCATCAGTTTCCTTTGAAAATTTGTTTGTAGAATCATTGGACACTTAATCCGTTTTTCGTTACGAGAATTTTAGGAATTTATTTAATCCATTTGAACGATGATTATGCATTTTGTTGTAATGGTTCCTTTTGTTGTGGGGTTGTTTTATTATTATAATTATTCGGTATAAAGAAGAATTCAAAGTCCACTTCATTTAATGGTGACAAAAGTTTTTAATGTTTTGATTACAAGTTATATTAGTTCACTGTTTTTACATAACTAACGATAAGCACAAGTTTATAAACCATCTAACCATATATATAATACAAACTTGTTAATTTCGTATCTCTTGTACTTCGTCGCAAATATACAAACTCAAAACTTTACAGTACTGAATCAACTAATGCTTAACAGCAGCATACAAACTAACTAAAACATGCTTGGTTTGTTAAGTTTGTGGTTTAGCGCAAAGCAACGCAGTGGGTTATCTATGCTCTGTCCACCATGGTATCGAAACGAGGTTTCTAGCGTTTAAGCCCGCAGACTTTCCGTTGTGCCAATGGGAGGCCTAAATTATACTTCATTCGTCAAATAACAGACAAATCAGAGTTGCCAGCCGTCCGTAAATGTACAAAATGCCAGAAAAAAAAGAAAAAAGTCATATTGTGATACTGTCCATGATTTTGGATGAAAATATAGAAGGGTATATCTTTTTGTTACTCTGTAGCTTTTTCGTTTAGCTTCAATAATATATATAATCAGTCTCAACATTCCTTAATCGAATTTCTTTTTTCATATTATTATCTGACCCTAAAGAGGCATTTCAACAATCAGGCATAAGAAAAACTATTACGTAATTCCTATACTTTTTAATCACAATACATTGCGAGCATTGAGTTCACGGTTGTCCATGTACGACCATAAGATATAAATAAGACCTAAAGAAATATAAGTAAACAAAATTTGTATATAATTAGGCCCATACGCGGAATGTTTGAAAAGGGTTTCTAATTTGTGAGATTAAAAGCCAACACATATTGTTCGAAACATAATCAGCATGCAAAGTACGCTAATGCTACAGGAGTCTATGGGCATGCGACTATTTTAAGCCAAAAAATGCTACATTATCTCGTTCTAGCGACTTCGTACTTTATTCTCTGTCCACAAGGATATTTCAATACCGCATGTAGAATTCAGGACAGGTTAGCACTGAGCTATTCTTTGCTGGCATATTCTGACGTTGACTGAAGCTGACTAATACTGTGAAGGGAAAAAGGTCACGAAGTCACGCCGTCCACTGAAGGAAGAAGGCAAGTTAACATTTTAGATCCATCTGTGTTTTCTTTCTTCAATTCTATTTGAATTTTATCGCACCTAATTCATCAGATTTATTTTGAAGCGACTTACAGCTGGCGAGCTATTCACTGATTCAGTAGAGGCGATTATCCACTCCTCTACACTGGTATGCACACTGTTTTTATATTGTGTCTAGATAAATACTGTCTTCAGTGTCATCTTTAATTGTGTCCAGTTTGTTTATTTCTCGCGAAATTTAAAATACAGTCACGTTAATAATTAAGGCACTCGACCCGCAACCTTTGGGTCGCAGATTTGATTCCCGTCCTCAAATATGTTTGGCCTTTTAGCCATGAGGATGTTGCAACGTGATGGTTAATTCCACTAATCGTTGGTAAAGAGTTGCCCAATAGTTGTTGGTGGATGGTTTTGACAAGCTGTCTCCCCTCCAATCAATCACTTCTAAATTAGTGTAGCTGTGCACGAAATTCAAAAACAAATACAAATTTAACATGAGCATCAAACTTTCATAATTGATAATAAATAATTGATGCAAATTAAAAACACCAATATTCATAAATACAGACATTACAATAATTAAATCATTAATTGTGTGTGAAACAAAGTACAATCAAATTTTTTTATTTAGTTAGTTAAATCTTCTATGGTGTTGAGTAATTATATTTTCGTTAACTGGTTTTCTTCAGAAATTTATAATATTAAAACATTTGCTGTTAAGCAATTATTTCAACAACATTATTGTTCCATACTCCCTTTCATTTACACGTTTTCTCCTCGAATCCAGCAACTAGAGCATTTAATTAATAATATTCGAAGTTAGCCACTACAGTAAGACTCCTATGCTTTCTTTGTTTGTGTACGTGAAAATTTTCAATCGTTTTTGACACATGTATTCCAGTATTTTCATTTGCTTTCTGTGTCCGTTTTATTACTTAATAAAACATTTTCTGAATCTGCTTCTTATAGAAGATTTTAATAGTAATAATATTGTTACGTATCTGCTTGTTTGTTAATTTCCTGTAGAAATTCTTTCCGAGAAACTTCAGCGATACAAGTCCTTTCTTAATTAACACTAGTTTATTTTTTTCTCGATACAACTTTGCAATACACAGAATTTCCACAGTCACTTTAACTTATTACTTTTATAAACACACGCTATAATTCACACACTTTACTTACGGTGCCTACTGTTCGCTTGACTCAATTTATTTCTATCTTCAATCTATCTGCCTTTATATACTAAAAAAGAGGGCGTCTAGCAAACGCTGGGACATTCATGAGGTTCTCCGATCCTTCAAGAAACTCCAGCGTGCATGCTCCCAGCGTCGCATGACTTCCGCGGTCGTAACACTATTATTATGGGCATCAGTGAACCTGATCACCACAATATCAAACTCTCATAATAATTTACTAAAGCCATATTTACTATGTGTCTATTATTAAGATTTTTTATGATTAAAATACATTATTAAAGATATTGATAACTTTATGCTGTGGTTTTCCAGTATCAGTTCTTTTATATTATTATGAAATTCAAATTTTGTTATTTGTTAACCATAAAACTACACATTGGGCTATCTAGTCTGTGCCCAAAGCGAGGATCAAACCCTAGATTTTAGTATTATAACTTCTGTAACGAATTTATTCTATATTTATTTTATTAGCGACGTTTGTTTAGATTACATTTATACTTAAAAACATGCATAGATTATCGTGTTAGCCCCCCAGTGGCACAGCGGTATGTCTGCGGACTTACAACACTAGAATCCGGGTTTCGATACCCGTGGTGGGCAGAGCACAGATAGCCCATTGTGTAACTTTGTGCTTAATTACAAATAAACAATAAACAAACAGTTATCATGTTAAATATGCATTGTGAAACTCCCGCCTATTCTCCAAAGTTATAGAAGATTTTCGAGAGTAAAAATCAACAATATATGTATGCACGTAAATGCTTGAATTTGTATTATTGCGTAATCTGTATTTTCTAGAAAGCCTCCACATGCCTATAACTATAACCAAGGCGACGCGCCAAAGAGAGTATCTATTATTAGTTCACTATAGTCAATGTGCAATAAACTTTGGAAGCTATAACTGTGATTGTTATAATGCTTACCAAACGGAAAACTTCAGATATTTGACCAGGATCTTTTACAAAGTTCGAACATTACAAATCGTTTAACTTCAGTGGATTCCCATTGAATATTATTATTTTTACGGAAACATTATATAAATTCATCATGGAAAACTCAGCGTGTGGGGCTGGAGAATAACGAAGGACAAAGGTAGCTAGCGTCCCGTTAAGTGAATTATACCTACATCAACTCGTAATTAACTTGCTCATCATGAACCCTCGATAAGATATCAAAGAAGTTTCAGACTAGAAAGAAAACTTTATATTGCTTGTAAGTTTATGAAACTTTTGTTTATAAATCATTGTTTGTAATAACTGTTATTGTATTGTTTTGTGTATATTAAAACGTATTTGTGTTTAAAAAAAGAAAACTGCGTGCATCAATGTTGTTGGCAGATATCATAAATTGACCATATATCGGCTCTTAAGTGCTAAAACCAAAGTACCATTTACCTACTAAATTTAAATTTATCAGTTATCTCAATTTCAAGCTCTTTGAAATTCTAATAGGTAACACTTCTTAAGCTCACTATTGAGTGGGGTTGAGAACTTCTGGTCAAAAGTATGCTCACTATCTTATATATATTGCGAACTGTGGTGTCTGTCTCCCGTTTACGGTGGCCACTTCCCGCGCTGATTTCGAAAAGCTGCGCATGGAAGCAAAGCTCAACATTTACTTTTGAAATAAAGGGAGAATAGGCGTGAATAATGCTGATGTGAAATTTTATTTCGAAAGTAGGTTAATCTACACTAAATTGTTTGAAATTAATCACACTATCATTCACATTTCAAAATGTGCGTAAATTAAAGAATAGAAATGTAGATTTACTGTATGTTACCGATGAGCAGCACTTAGTATGACTGAAATACTCAACAATTACTTTTCGTGGTGGGCAGGGTAAGTAGCTGAAAGCTTTGGCTCTGAGTAAAACCATAAATTCAACATAATTAACATTTTTAAAGACCATGAAATATATTAAATTGATAGATTATCTTAATCTTTTCCCATCACTGGGGACGGGTACTTTTGCTTATATAAAATAAAACAAAAATGTAACTTATATATTAAAGACATCGATCATGAGTAATAAACTGACGAGAAAAAATTTCGTAAACTATGCACAAGAAAACTAAAACATAATGATTAGAACAGGCCGAATCATCAGTTAAGTACCTTCATGGTTAAGAAAATTTTTTATTGTAATCATGTTAATATCTCACAAGGTTTGTCCATTTTCAGTTTAGATCTGTTCTGAATCTAAACACTAAATTAACAACACAAAATTAATAAAAAACGTGTTTAAAATTAATTTAAACAT